AAAGACACATCCAGCAATCTTTAACCAACTATCTGGACACCTTGGAGTCCAGCCAAGTTGATGCACAAAATTAACTATACTTTAGTCTCCAGCAACAGATTCATGTCTCGCACAGACTTCAGGAACTCCCTCTCTTCTGGACACCCTTCTTGCCCTTTTTCTGCCCTGTGATACAACCATTTCAGCTGTCTCCAGGTCTGATCTCTGCCTTGTAAGCCTGGTAGAACAGGCCTACTTTTCTCAGACTCATTCTATGCACTAAGTGCAAAAGCATTCCTAGGCAGATGGACACACTAGGTGATCTGGGGCTACCCTCTGCAGTTTTCTTTCTCTCAGGGACTGATCACAGTCTTGTGCTTCCTCTTGTCCTTGACCCAAAGTAGTTGCCTGATGAACTTTGTCCATTTTTATCAGGATTCACGGTGTGAGGATTCATCTGGACTTAATTACAGCTAGTAAAGTGGTTAATTTTCAGCTGCTTTATATAGTGTTTTAGTATATGAATTATCCACTTATTGTGTTAGTGGAATTAGACAGTTAGGTGTATTCAAACTGTAAATAATAAAAATTATGCTTCAGTGACTATACTCAGAAGTGGAATTGCAGGGTTATAAGAATCTTTTCATTTTCACACTTTCAAGATATTGCCAAGTTACTCTGCATACTGTATGTTCAACATATCAACAAATTATGCACATTCTATTCAATCTACATCCTTGCCATTCTGCATTACTGAATTACTAATTTTCTTGTGCAAATGAACTCAAAATGGTACAGTGTTTTTAAATCATTTATGTATTTATTTGGTACAGGGTCTCACTGCACAGCTCAGACTTGTAGTGATCCTCCTGTCTCAGCCTCCCTAGCACTGGGATTATAGGAGTGTGCCACCACACCTAGTTTCCGTAGCCAGCATGGGTGCAGGGCTGGTATGGCATGTGGTACGAGCATCGAACGCAGGTCCTTGTACTTGCCAAGCAGGCACTTAGACCACCAAGCTATCTCCAAAGCCAAATGGTATATAGTATTGTTACTGTAAATTTTTCATGAATAGTAGTGAGGATAAATATATGTACATATATTTATATGTTTGCACATATATGTATATATGTTCATATGTGTATGTTATAGTTTGTGTCTAGCTGTCCCCCCAAAGCTTCATGCAGTGATGGGGCAGCTTCTGGAGTTTGTGATTTTTTTTTTTT